CCACTCCCACCAGGTCACATGGCCGGCAAGCCACTCCCACAAAGGAGGCCACACCCACAGAGTAGGTTTAAAAAATTTTTGAAACCCACCACTGGCTGCATCAGAGTTGTGCTTGACCGTGCGTGGGGGGGGGCAAGATAGGTGTGGCCAGGGTGGTGGGCATGGCCAGCATGACGTCACTCATGTCGGGCAGGCGCTTGTAGTGGCCCGAATCCTCTGCCAACAAAAATGGGCTCTCGAGCTCCGTTTTGGGCTGGGACGGCCTCCTGCAGCCCTCTGCCACCGAAAATGGAGCTCGGGTGGGCTGTGAGCGGCTCTCCCAAGCCCTGTTTTTGCTGACAGAAGCACGGCGGGCCAGTCCTTTGCTATTTCCAGGGCAGCCCACGGGGCCAGATCTAAGCACCCCATGGGCCAAATCCGGCCCGCGGGCCTTGAGTTTTGACACCCCTGCGCTAGAGCAAAGGCGCGCGTCCAACCTCGTCAGCGTTAAGACTTGTGGACTAATTGCTATGCCAGCTGGGGAATCCTGGCAGTTGAAGTCTTAAAAGCCTTAAAAGTTGACGCGGTTGGGCAATCCTGCACTGGGCCAAGACGGTTCCACCACATCTGTCACCAGCATTGCAAGAACAGCAAATTCCCCATTATTCAATCGGCAGCCTGGGCTACTTCTGCATACGGTTTATGTCAAAAACCATCCTTCCTGAATTGATGTCCTCCAGATGTCTGGGCATCAGCTTCAGCTATGTGGAGGATGGGGGGGCACACATCTGGGGGGTGGGGGACAGCAGGCAGCCTAAGGCGAAGCCAAAAGGCTAAGATAGGAGCATCTGAATCCCCAAAACAGCTTTTTCCGTGGCAACCTGAAAATATGTGGACTTCAACTCCCACGTTGGTTGAGGAATTCCCGGAAGGGGAGTCCACTGGAAGCTGCCACTTAAGTGTCAGAGAAGCCATCAAGAGAGCAGTAATTCTCCACCTCGGGAGACTGGAGGGGTGTGCGCTTCAACTCCCAGTTAGGCTGGTTGGGGAATTCTGGGATTTGAAGTCTACACATCTGAAAGGTGCCCAGGCTGAGAAACACAGCTCTGCAGGGAAATTGCTCTCCTTCTCCTCCTTCCCCGTTCTCCTTCCCCAAAGATTCCCCCTGGCTTTGCAAAGGCCCTTGGGCCTTCCTCCCGGGCTCAAACCTACCTTCATCCAGGTTGCCAATCACTGCCTGCTTCTTCAAGAAATCGTTGCAAAGTTTCTTGTTCAGCCCAAAAGCCAGCATGTTATGAGTGAACGTTCTAGTCGAGGAAAGTAAAGAGAAGTCAGAACAAGCCAGAAATCTTTTTTTTTTAATTTTAGACTTATATACCGCTTCATAGGGCTTTCAGCCCTCTCTAAGCGGTTTACAGAGTCAGCATATATTGCCCCCAACAACAATCCGGGTCCTCAT